AATTAAAATTTTAATTTCATCTTTAGGTGGACCCAATGATATATATAATTGAGCATGATTGTTTAACCAGCTTGTTCCCTTACAGTAGTAAAATCTACTTTGTATGTTATCTTCTGTAGTGCAATTCTACACACTGAATGCTTTTGCTGAAAGTCAAGGCAAACTATGTGTATTGTATTCCCATGGTCAATTAAGCTACTGTAGTTACTCTACCAAAATGGAGAATGGATATTTTTAGTAAGATTTAATCTTGATAAACTCACGCCACGCAATGCATTTTTTCTCCTAATTCTTACAAACCAACAGCTTAATCATTTCCTCCAGCATTTTGACATATCAATAGAAACCCAATAGCTCTTTATTCCCAGACCCTGAAATCTGTATGGGACAGGTGAAGGAACATAGATGCAATTGTGTTATTGAAGCTTTAAGTTTGTGCAGTGTATATTAAGAAGGGACAGAGCTTTGATTACAGTCACAGGCACTTTATTTTTATTTTTTTTGACATACTCCTGCTGTGGGTACTCGTGCCCCTATCCTCTTTTTGAAATTAGCATAGTGACCGGCCTAGTCACCCAGCTGGATTTCATTCCTAAGGCAGGCCTAGGACTCACAGTCTCCTGGTTCTAGACTAGCACCTTCATCACCACACCAAACTGGCTCTCATGTGTTCATGTGCAACTAAGACACAATCCCTCTCCTTCTCTCCAGTATTTTCAACCTTAAGGGACTTTGTCTCAAAGTTTCCACTGCCTTTATCCCGTTAATCAATTCTTCTGTACTGACTAGGATTAGATCTATGATGAACAATATCAAATGTGGAACAAAAATTATGGTTCAGAATGTCATTTTCATAAACCTCTATTAAATCCTAGTCCACTTTTCCATTAGTAAGCTACTGAAGTAAATGAATACTTAAGAGATGAACAATGTGCCATTCTACTTTGCTGTTGTTTTTCCTTTTTTCTCTTATTCAATTTTCTCTTCTTATTGTTTATTATTAATACATAGCAACAGCTCCTAGAAGAGCTAGCTGCATTACAGAATCGTCTCAGTCTGCAGTTTCAAGAACACAAAAAAATATGGTGACATAAACTATGTCTATAAAAGCCATAGTCCCTGGTGGGTTGTGGTTTCTAGTGTGTGCTGCCACTGAATTTATAACTCCTCAAAAATCAACAAAAATCCTGTCAGAGGACTTCCAAAAAGAAGCATATGATGAACACAGTATGCATACAAAGAAGAAATTGCTTGGAAAAAATGATTCCTCAAATTAATCTTTTTTCCAGCTGGTGAAATTTATGGATCATCAGTCAAGTTGAAATACAACCTTTGATAGAAAAGTAGACAAGCACATAAGAATATCAAATGGTACAGTTGAAGACATCTTCAGACTAAGGCCATATCAAAGAACTTATTTTACTAGCATAGTTGACAAAAGCAAAGCTCTCCACCTGGGAAGAGTAAAGGCAGTGATATCATCCCCACCTGAGTCTCAGAGACACAGCTCTCAGTTTTCTCTCACACCCGGCATTCCAAAATCCTTAAAGCCCTTGTCTCCAAGTAAGCACACACACACAAGCATAGACACAGAAAGGCTGCCCCCTCAACAAAGCTTAATATTTAGAAAAGGGTTGCAAGTTATTTTTAAAAAAGCAGCCATACATCCAAGTTTTTAATTTAGACTTGTAGTCAGATTCACGGAAGTCATTAGCCAATTTTGCAATTATTAATGGCAATTCTCCTACATTCATTCCCACAAACAATTTCTGAAAGAGACTGCTATTAATCTCATTTGGCAGATCTAAGCTGAAAAATAAATGACTTCTATTTTAAATTGAGTTGATCTGTTAGAACATTTTATTTGCCAGTTCTTAAGAATCTAGTAAGTAGCTCTTGTTTAAGCCGCTTATACTGATATAAACAACATGTGAATTGTTAAAAGATACGTTAATAAGATGCTAAAAGGTTGTGGAAACGTTGTCATTTTCTCCAAATCCATTGTGAGAATCAAAAAGTGCCCTTTTGCTGTAGACCTATGTCTCTATCACATTTTAAAAAGCAGGTTTCAAACATGATTTGGGGAGATTTGTATTTCAATGGAGACTTTCAATTTCCATAACAAAAGTGGCAAAGAGTCAAAGACCCCCTAAGTGGCAGCTGGAGCTTTATGTATTACGTTTCATACTGCCAAATATTAACCACCCAAGGCATAAAACATAAATCCACAGTTATGAATCCATAAGCCAATCACCACAGCAGAAACATTAAAAGAATGAAATAAAATTTAAAATAATCATTATTAGCCTAATACAATCATCTTGTGTTCATAAAGAATGTACTGGCAAGTTATACCAAAGGATCCTGAAGGAACCTAGGAGCCAAGCCATATCAGTTTTAAAAAGCCCTTTGGAATTGAACTGTACAGACAAACCTATTGAAAATTAAAGAAGCATTGCAATGTAACTGGCTATAAATAGCTCTCAACTCCTAGCATGAAGACTCCTCCATTTTGGAGGATCTATTGTATCTATTGTTATTTTTGAATCATCTTCAAAGATATTCCCATATAAGGCACACTGTGGTAATCTAGCCAGGCATATGTCATTGTTGCCAGAGCTTTCTGCTCTAAGCAAGATTCCAATTGGTGCGCTTAAAGAAGGATCTTCAGGGTGACCTGAAGATCACAGACCTGATTCTTTGGTGGAGAGATTCCCCAACCAAGAAATAAATCCAGAGAAGACAAAATGACAGATTTCTGTATAAACAGTAATTTTGGACCTGAACTTCAACCTGTTTTGTATCAGTCTCTTGTAATCTCCAGAAAGAGTGTCACAGACTCTCTGGTCTGGCCCAAGGTGAATATGTTTAACTGGGTATTACGAGCATACTAATACCTCATCTCAAACTGATGGACAACCTGTCCTAGTGGTTTCATACATGTGTTAAAAAAAAGGCCCTGTCATCGTTTCAAGGTAGACCAGGTTAGTAAACAAGTGCCACAAGAAATATTCTGTTGACATAAGTTATAATAACGGAATGTTAAATACATGAAAGCATTTCTCCTTCTCTTCTTCTTATACCACAGTCAAAGAAGATGAACTTTGAGTTTCTTTATCATGCCTTCCTATTTTTCCCGTCAAGTTCGTGTTTTCCTAATCGCTGTTACTATTTGTTTAAAATGCCATCTCTGCACAAAGGATTCCCTGTTGTGCTAACCTCTCCTCCCTTGCCACCAACTGGCACTGTCTGCTTGAGGAGAAAGACATTGTAGAGCAGTGCTTCTCATCCCCAAACTTTGCAGACAGTCCAGAAAGTTACCATTGTCAAACCACTAATGAAAGATCAAGTACAACCAGGAGGAGTGCAATCCAGATCTTGTTGAAGGTTGTCAACCAAAGCAGCCCAAGATACTTATGTCCCATATCCTGACTGAACTCTATCTGAATCTATCATCACATGATTTGCTTTTGTATGACATTCTGTAGCTGAAACTTTATCATGTTTTTAACAGCCTTCTCTAGAAATAGAAGGCTAGAAAAGAAAATGTAGCCAGATCTAGGGGAGATCTCTTCAACAATGCATGCTTGCCTCTTTTAAAGCACCTAGTATAACCAACTCTCCTAGATAGTCATTGTCATTTACCAATCTAGTCACTCAATCCCTGTCCCCTAGTGAAAGGACCCAAAAGGAGTATACATTTCAGTTACAGGCTACAGAGCCCTACTTTATCAGACTTTATGAGCCAAAATGAATTTTGTATCACTGAACAAGACTTTGCTCCAGTCACAATTTCAGAGACTGGTCAGGTATAGAAAAAAACAGAAATTGAATGACTTTTATCAGCAAACACTATGCAGATTGGCAGATCTTCCTGCCTATCTCTTCCCGGAAGGAGCAGGCCATCTTAACTAGCACTGCTGAACAACAAACCAATGACACAATAAGACAAATAGTGGTAGTTCACTGGCCTGATCTTTACAGGTTAAGCTCTTCTCCATAGTTGTGCTGCTTTTTGTACAATTTCTGGTGTTTCATCTCCAAGAACCAAAAACAAAGTATCATAAGATTGGTAAACTGAGAATTGCTGCTGTAGGACAATCACTTCAAGAGCTCTGTTAACTCCTCAGTAAAACCAAGCATTTGATGAAACACACTGCAAGTTCCTGGGAAATCCCAAAGTACCTGATAAAATCTACTCATTATTCATTTGAGGGTTTGGCCCTTGGAGACAAACAAACAAAACAAGAAGCTTCAAGAACCTAATGCAATCACAGAAATCCTAGATTTTAGAGTCGTCTTAGTGCATTATATTTTTAGAGATGGCTTCGTCAACAAACCATTAAGAGTGAGGAAGATGTCAATTACTTTTCAAGCAACTATATTAGTCTTGTTTCTATGTGGGTTTAGAATTAAGCTAGATATTCTTTAGATATTTTAGTCTGCAAATGAATCCAGAACTGTATGTCTTTGTCATTCATTATAAGAGCTCTTACTCCTGAAAAAACCCAAAACAGATCAGTAAGTATTGATGAATTGCAGGATTTGGTGGAAATATGAGCTTCAATTCTAAAAATATAGTAAAAAATCCTGTGAGAAACATCTTTCTAAATACAGATGTTGCAGCCGTGGTATTAATTTTCATTTTTAAACCTGAACACCAAAAGTTGCCATATTTAATTGGCAACAGACAGCAGCAAAGTCAAAGGTTTCTGCCCACAGGGCTGGGCAACCATGAAAGAATTACAATCATACAGAAAGAACTATGCCCCTATTTCTATGCAGCAAAGCAATCTGTTCCAGTAATACAGATAATTTAGAGTTGCTGAGTACTATCAACATAGTGTTGCCAATCATGTTACATGAATACATCCAAGTGGAGCAGCGGCGTCAGCTTGAAGGTATCTTTATCTTTTGCCTTTACTATTGGAATATGAACTGATCATTGGCATTAAAATATAATCAAGGCAGTACCCATCTGGGAATGCATAAAGGCTCACCTTGCTGCTTTCTGAGTAAGCTCCACAGGAAAGTCAGGGCAAAGGAGTTGCAGTAAGCAGTGGTACTCCTTGGCAGTCAGCAAGTCTGGAACAGAAAGCAAAAGCATTAAATGTGAGCATTAAATAGTCTCCCCAGCATTGAGGACGGATCATGGACTTCTTCATTTATTTTTAGGATATAGGTAGTCTTTGATTCATGATCACAATTGGGATTGGCAACTTGTTAAACAAAGCAATCACTCCATGTGGAATCATATGACTGCAACTGTGCTTATTCTTTTACTTTAGCTTTCTTGTTTCTCCACTCCCCTGTCCTTTGAAATGCCCATCCCTGTCCCGGAATAATTAGCAAGGAGTGAATTGTTACATTTACATTTCATTGAAGAGAAAGGGATAACAAGACAGTAAACAGACACACATTGGAAAACACACAGCAAAAGGAATCTGCTGGTACAAGCGAGCCCCAAACATGTGGATGCTCCAACACTGGAGTTTTTAAAGAAGAGACTGGATAGCTATTTGTCTGAAATGCTTCAGCAGGGGGTTCCACTTCCAGCTCTGTTATCCTCTGTGTTTGGGGCTGGGATCTGTGAGCACACTAGGCCAACAGCCAGTATACATCTCATTATGTGCCCGCTTACTCTTTTGTAAGCAGAAGGGGGGGAAAAAAAACCCAGCTCAGGCACAGGAGAGATTGCCTAAACCACTTATTTGGAGAATCTTTCTTGGGCCTGATCTGTTTTGGTTTTGTTTGTTTGCTTGGGTTTTTTGTTTTCCCCTTCACATAGCAGAGAGATTGAAGAAGAAGAAGGGAGCATATAAGAACACGTTTGCCTATGTGCTTCTGGTTCTCAACCCTAGTGGTTGGGGGTGCCAGTGCTAGTGCATTCTTTCTTATGTGTATTCCCCATGGTGTGCCTACTTATCCTCTTGTAATCCCTTCCTCTCCAAACTCTCCTCTCTACAAGAGAAGGGAAAGGGGTTAGACACAGGACAAGTGTACTGACTGTTTTAGCTATCATGTGACTGAGGTATGCTGTGAAGGTTGTAATGTGTGCCTTGGCTGCAAAGTTTTTTTTTTTTTTTTGCAGTATCATAACTTTGAACAGTTGTTAAATGAGGCATTTAATAAGTGAGGCCTACTTGTACTTCATATTAGACAGCATGTGGCAGGTAACATTTCATTGTATTTAAAATTTCTCTTACATATGGTCGAAATGTTAATAGGGAAGGCCAAAATTTCTCTAAAGACAGGGTGAATTATATGGGATATGAAACATTCAGGAATTGAGAAAATTCTTAAGCCTATGATATTAAACTTCCTGATTAAGAGATTACTATTTAGGCAGAAAAATCATTCAATCCTACATTAATTGTAGTTCAGGACATATAAGATTAGTTCACAATACAGGGTAATTGTCCGATTTAGCAAGGTGATGTATTTGAGTGTTTTGTCACTTAACAAAAGCAGTGTGTATAACGACTATTTTAACAAAATCTATTGTCAAGAACTGCAGGAAACAGGCCCTATGCATGCTATGTTTCACACACTTCTTTGTACACAGGATCGTATTTAATTTTTACAAACTAAAAACTGGCATATTTGCTTCCTTCATAGTCTTCAATCATACATTCCAAAGTCTGCTTTTTAGTCATACCATTTCTCCTGACATCACAACATTCTACAGTAGGCCCAAATTATTGAAACTTCTACAAAAAGAAATGTGTAAGGGCATTGATGCAAACTTTGGTTTGTTCTAAACAAATACTCAACACAGAGAGTAAGAAAGTAATCCTGCACATACTTTTATGAGAATAAATCTCACTGAACATAATGGGGCTTCTGGAGAAATTTACAGAATTGTGATATAAATAGAATAACATAATTAGAAATTTTGTTTCAAAAGAAAAATTTATGACTCAAAAAACAACTGAATTGTGGGGGGGGGGGCAAAACCTTGAGATTTTTGTATACAGAAAACACACAAATTACTCCTTCTACAGAGCAACGATCTTTTTGAGAAGGGCAATTCAAACTGAACATTATGGGAAAAAAGGGTGCTGATACCATTTTCCCAGTTCAGTGTTACCCTGCAAACCCAATAATGCTTCTTGGTAAACTCATATATAAGTGCCTGTTTTCCTGGGCAGCCAAGAAGTTCAGTGTCAATTTGAATTGAATCCTAGATACGTATGCACTCATTCACAAGCATGCATACCCAGATCCAAATTGTCTTGCTAAAAAAGATATTCCCTGGTGTTTTAAAAAAAAAAAGCTATAATAAGTAATCTACACATGTTTTCATGTAATACCTAGTTTGGTCCAAAAGACTCCTTTAAAACAAAATAGTTTCAATCTGTTAAAAAAAAAATCACTGGTATGGGAACATTCACTACCATATGTTTGTAAAACCATCCAAGCAACATCTGGCAGCATTAGGAAAGGCAAACAAGATCTAAGGACATATATGAATAAGTATGGCGATTAAACCCACAAACATTATTACTTTGGCATCTAGTAAGGCAGCTGGATGGCTTCCTGGAATTGTGTGTGTGCAAAACTGGTCAATGTATTAAAGAAAGGCAAAGAGACAAGATCCAAAATACACAAAGTAGCCAATCCAATGAATCAACTCTTAAGAGTCCCGCTTTGTAAAAGATTGGCAAAGAAAAGCCTCTGTGGTTCTTGAGGGGAGAAGACCAAAGAGGGGAAGCTCGAGAGCGTTTACGGGATGGAAAGAGAATGGAAAGCTACTTATATCAAAAAGCTGTGCGTGATTGCAAGTTCCCAGTCCCAAAGGTTGTGGACTCAAGTTAAAGAGAGGGCTGGCTGAACAGCAATAATTGTGACAAATTTCTATATGCAGAAGAATGTAAAGAATGGAAGAAAAGCCAGTAGTAAAACTAGAGCCAAGAACAGGAAGGGAGTGAAGCCAAAGGGCACTAAATGGAAGGCTATAGTTAGAGCTCATTTGCTCAGTTACTTGTTATCCTTCAATTGAGCATTTACTTTTCTGCTCCAATATTTAATTAATGCAGCTAGAATCAAAAGAGGCCCCTGCATGTTCTCAAACTAAGCACTGGCATGCATTTACAAAGCTACCGCTTTCTTCTCCCGATTGCAGCCCATTGTGCCTCATACAATGAAGGTACAGAGAATTCTTTGGCATTTAGGGGCGGGTAAAGGATCACACTAGCAAAAGAGATCCTGGAAAGCTACTGTGCATAAATCTGAGATCCTTGCCTGTATTTCAATTGGGTCTCATCCTAGACATTTGATATTTTACAATGTTTAAGCAAATTAAACTCGGTTTGAATACTCATGAGTTCCCAGCTTCTGTTCCTGCCTATTTAATCATACCCATATGTAGGCAGAATTTGAGTTCAAATTTTCCCATGCTAGTGCTCCTCCAGATATGTTAGAATTCAGCTATCATAATCTTCTACTAACGATGAAAAATCATGCTTGTTGAGGAGTATAGAAACCGAAATCCCACATATTTCTAGAGCATCTGGTTGGAGAAAGATGCCCTGTGTTTAAATAAGAGGTAGAATACATTCAGGGATGCCGGTAGCATTCTTTTTCCCTTTTATTTTCCCTTTATTTTTTTGTGGCAGAATGATAGAACCAGGTATAGATGTGGCATTTCTCTGTTTTCCCATCTCTTCTTCTCAGACTTTTTACTCTATTTTGCTCCAAGCTTCTGCACTGAATTTTAAGAAACATATTTCTGCATAAAGAAACCAAGACTATAAAATCTGACACCATTTCAACAAGGTCAAGGCAAAACAAGTATGGCTGAGGAAAAAAATTACAAAAACAGGTGTGATTCTTCAGTAGTATACCTCTTAAGGCAGCTTTATGTATTTAGGTACTATGTATTCTGTGTTGAACATTAATTATTGGAAATTGATTCTTTATCAAAGTATTTTATTTTGTTACTGATATCTTTTGTATTTTTGTTTTCAGTTTTTATTTCAAATCTAGAGTGTACCGTCCTTTTTTGTCAGGAAAATGTACAGCAATTGACTACTGGGGAGTACAAAACATGGGTATGCACGTACAAAATAGGCACAAAATTTATGCAACATGCAATACTATTGTAAGAAATTGCAAGTTCTGTAAATGGAGCATGCAAAAGCAGATCAGCAAGTAGACCTGTGGTGGGGACTTTTTTTATGCCAAAGAAATAGCATCATATTAGTGATGTCCCTTAAACTAAGAGAAGAAAGCCATGCACCTGGTATTTACTTGGAGATTCTCAGTTGTGATATGATGGACAGGAAGGAACACCACAATACGAGTAATGAGAGGGAACAGGCAGCAGGAAGGAAACATACTCATCCTGCTAAGTCAGCTATTGAAATGCAAATCAATTCCAGATGGACAAGGGGAAAAGTCCAGTAGGGATGATGGCCACATGTTTTTCTTATTCTTTTGTATTGTTTCTTATCAGCCCATTTAGTATCTGTCTGCATATTTCCACACAGAAGGGGCGCTGGTCCTACCTGAACGCTTCTTCTCGGGGAGCCGAAGGGAGAATCCAGGATGGGTGCTCTCTAATCTCCTAGCTCTGCAGACCGAGTTGAAAACCTGAGGACACCCCGCCTGGTAGCGGTCCCCAGTTCTGAATGACGTTGAAGCGAATTCAGCTGCTCCTTGTCTTCAAACAGATAGTTCATTGATACTGCGAAAAAAAAGGGACATTTCCTCCCTATTCCGACCAGACAGAATACAGGGTGGGACTGGATTCTCCCTTCGGCTCCCCAAGAAGAAGCATTCAGGTAGGACCAACGCCCCTTCTCCACTGAGCCGAAGGGAGAATCCAGGATGGGACATGCCAAAGCTGGCTGATGGCTGTCCTATGGGTGGGAGCTGGATTGGTCGGAGGTCCCTATTTCTACATGCACACCCTGCAGGAGTCATCTTCCAAAGGACGCCTCCGCTGAGGCAAAGGAGTCTTATGTAATGTCTTATGAATGGGGTCACTGATGACCAGGTCACAGCTCTACAAATGTCCAGAATCGATGCCTGCGTTGCCCAGGCTGCGGTGGTCGCTGCACTTCTGGCTGAGTGCGCTGTGA